TGAATGAAGTGCTTGTTGTGTATTTATAGGTTCAAAGGTGGAAAGCGACATTCCCAACTTCTTCGAGGGACCAGCAGAACTTTTATTTTCACGAGATTGCCCTGAAAAAGACGGTAAACTCATAGAACCTCTAGTTATAATCGTCATTTACTATAAAGTCTTCCACTTCTCGTGCTTCTCTTTGGCTGTATGTGGAGTTCCCCAATTTGTTTAATCGCTTCGTGGATGTGTGTGTCTGACTTGTTTATTAGAGATTAATCATTAATTAGAAGAAGTTAATGAATAAACAATCAATTTATGCAGAGAGATGGCAGATTCGTTGGAGGAAGGGAATGGTGAGAATGTCAAACCAGGAAGGGGAAGAGGATGATTTCATGTCATTAGAAGATGGGGTAGCAGCTTCTGTTGCAAAGGAGGTGTACCACGTTTACGATTCCGATGATGCTGATACTTCGGATGATGAATATCACGAAGCACGTGATAACTTACGAGCATATGGCGAGACGAGGAGGAGGAGAAAGGTGAAGTCAAAGCGTGCTGCTGATGGGGAAGAGGTGGAGCAATTGGATGAATTTGAAGAAGTTGAGGTTGAAAGTGGAGAGGAAGAGGAAGCAGAGAATGATAATGGTGAACATGGGAGGATGCAGGGGGAGAGCAACCGAGGAATGAGGCTTCAAATCACTCAATATCCAATCATCCTCCCCTGTTCAAGAACAAGCCGTTGGTGAGAATTCCAATGACTCGTTTTACAGGTTGTCTGAAGATTCGATCATATTCGTCCGAACTTATCTGATGAAGAGGCTAGGGAAATGCACGATGATGCTCCACACTATGATCCAAATTGTGATCATAAGAGCTTCCAATTTGTGTGTCGGATGAAGTTCGCGAGTCCAGAGCAATTCAAGGAGGCTGTGTTATTAGACATTCGGTGGCAGCTGGTGCAAGTCTGAGGTGGCTTAGGACTAATCCTAATAGGAGGGAGGTGAAATGTAAGGCTCTGAATTGTAAGTGGAAGTTGTATGCCAGTTGGTTCAGGAAGGACAGGAGCTTCATGATAAGGAAAGTAGGGCTGCCACACTCGTGTTCAAGGCAGCTTAGAGTGAATCAAGTCACTGCTAAGTGGATAGCAAGTGACATGTTGGAAAGATTCAGGATAAATCCTGAATGGGCTCCGAATCAGATAATGGCCGAGGTTAAGCTGAAACATAACATGGAGGTTAAGTACAGAACGTGTTATAGGGCTAAAGTGGAGGCTATCAAGCTGCTTAGTGGTTCATTGGTTGATGAGTACGTTAAACTCAGAAGTTATATGGCTGAATTGAAGAAACGAGATAGAGAAGGTCATTTCATCTTGGAGGTAGACCCACATCCTAATGGCGACAAGGTATTCTTTCAACGAATGTACATCGGGTTCTCCAGTTTGAAGAAGGGATTTCTCGAGGGATGCAGACCAATGATTGCGTTGGATGGATGTTTTCTGAAAGGAGAGGTTAAAGGGATGATTCTGACAGCAGTTGGGAAAGATGGAAACAATCAAATATTTCCTATATGTTGGGCTGTGGTAGAAGGTGAAAACACTAACTCTTGGGTTGGTTTGTGAAAGCACTAGCTGAAGACCTAACTATGGTTGACGGAAGGGGATGGACTATTATTTCGGATCAACAGAAGGTAACGACCAATGATTGACTTTATTTGCCTTATTCCTTTCCACTTAATTCTGTATCGCTGACTTTTTTTCTCACTTGCAGGGTTTAGTTGAGGCAATCCACAGCATTCTGCCCGATGCTGAGCACGAAAATGTGCAAGACATGTATACGCCAACTGAAGGCCAAGAATAAACAGATCGGGTTAGGAAGCTGTTTGGTTTGCCGTGTATGCTTGCAACGAAGTCCATTGGAACCGTTATACAACTGAGCTGGAGGCAATTGAAAAGTCAGGTGATGGTTCTACCCCATACATGTTTATGGCTGCTGAACTCGTCGTTTCTGTCGTGCATTCTTATCATGTTATTCGAAATGTGACTCGGTTGAGAGCAATGTAGTGAGACATGGAATGGATGTATTGTTAAGTATAGGGTATGAGAATTGTAGACATGTTGGAGGGTATAAGGCAGTACATGATGGATAGGGTAGTGCTTAAGGCAGAAATGTTTGCCAAGTGTACAGACACATTGCCTCCAAGGATTAGGAAAAGAGTTGAAAGGGAAAAGGAAGAGGCCAGGTTATGTGTAGCTAAGCAAACTCTCAATGCAAGGTGTGAAGTAAAGAAGGGGGTGAAGGATTTATAGTGGATCTGACAGAGTGTAATTGCTCTTGTGGTTACTGGCAACTTAGTGGCATTCCATGCTGCCACGCGGTTTCAGCTATTAGCCATCTAAGAAGGGAAGTGGATGATTATGTGAGTTCATGTTATCACGTGTACATGGCTAGTTTGCATACAACTATGGGATACCTTGCCTGGATGGTAGGCAAGCATGGCCTGCACCTGAGGGAATCCCTGTTCATCCTCCAAAATTAGAGCAATGCTGGCAGGCCGAAAAAGAAAAGAAGAAGGAGTGCAAATGAGGTGGAGGAGACCAGGCCACAAAGAAATGGGGTTGGTGAAGAGGCTCGTTTGGAAGTTGAGATTTCAGATGATGTATTTAGCTAATACATGTAATCAGAAGAATTCATTGTTTTTTTGGCTTAAAATGAAAAAGAATGCTTGTATTTGAACAACAAATGGGCCCACCAGAATCATTCATTATGAAGGATTGTCAATCTCAACTTTTAGTAGAGATTGTGTTTGAGGGATTGTTGTCTTACTTTTTGTTCCTTATTCTTTGAGGGACCACCAAAATCATTCAATCTCCAAACAATATATTTTTCAAATTCATACATTGAAACAATGCATCTAGTTATAATACATACATTGATTAAATACATCCATTTAAAGAATCCTAACTTCCAAACATGCCCTCGATTGAATCTGGTCAAAATTGGCAGGGTTTGACTGTTTGATTTAGCGATCGAGTAAGTTAAATCAACTCTCTATGTTTTCCTGTCGAGTATTTCTACAGGTAAAATACCTCGGATACCATTTAAGTTTGAGAATTTGGGTAGACATACCAATTAAGTTTGAATAGGGCGTCGAGTACCATTAAAGTCGACAAAATGTGCATCCGTCTACTTTTCCATCCAACCCAAACTTTTAATTACTTTTTGGTACCCAAAATTTTTTAGAACATTCAAAACTATATTTCAACAAGTTTTATCTAATATAAAAATTAGAAAACCTTCTAAAAATATTATTACTAAAATGGCTAATCAAACTTTTTCATAAAATAGATAAATTAGTACAAATATTAAATGAACATAAGAAAAACAATAAGTACACTAGAATATAATAATAAATATTTAAAATTAATATTAGAATATCTATTTAAACACTCTAATTCAATTAGAAAGCACTATTAGAAATAGTTAAAATAGAACTTAATCGATCATCAATACATCAAAACCAAAGAAAGATAAATAGAACACAATCATAAGGAATAAAACATATTCCAGTAATTAAAAAAACATTTAGAACGAAAAGAGATGGAAAGTAACCAAGTAATAAATGCGCTATAAAAGCTACAACATTCAGTAAAAAATATAGAAAATAAAATATGATTATAAGAAGAGAATTAGAATTACTAAATTTAACTAATATGAAACATCTACAAATATAATATTAGAGAATTAAAAGGAAATTTAACATTGAAAATTAGACAACATCACTCTGATGTAAGAGAACTAAATATAACATTCTCATATTTTTTATATCGCGATAGAATTCATAAAATATATTTACTTGAGAAAATTATTCAATTATAAGAACACATAATGATAATTGAAAATACTTATAATAATAATTTATTCTAAATTTTCTATTGAAAAAATGATTTTCTATCAAGTATTCAAAAGAGGATTCCAATTAAACAATAAAAAATTATGTTTTTCATAAGTCCAAATGATTTTTTTTGCAATAAGAAAAGTAGAAGGACCAATTATGAAATTTAGAAAACGGAATATTTCAAGGAATATTCTTTCAACTTTAACGCAATGCACATAACAGTAAACTTATGTGGTACCGGTGCACATATAATAGAGTTCAGTGGTACCCGACGTCCTATTCAAACTTAAGTGATATGTCTACCCCAATTCTCAAACTTAAATGGTATCCGAGGTATTTTACCCCTACTTCTATATGCTTTTTGCATACATTCGAGTTAATCTAAACTAATTGAGTTATTCTCAATTTGACCGGTCAAACATTGATTGAACCTGCTTGATCAGGTCAACGAAAACAATGAACAACATGCCATAAGAAACTTGAGTTTCGATGTGATCTGCATTACTCATAGAAACTTCCAGTATTGTTTGCCAACAAAGACGACCACACACTGATCTCGAATTGAAGCAACACTTGAGTTTCGGTGGGACCTACACTGTCCAAATAAACTACCAATCTAATTAGTCAAACAAATACAATGCAAACATTGATCTCAAAATTATAGCAACCGATGTGAATGATATCCTGACTTGACTGTATGTCAGATCTCGAAGAAGTTAGATGGACAATCACTTGCATACAAACCCATATGATATTTGTTCATAGAAATGTAATCGGTGTACTCAATTAGTCACATCTTCAACATAGTCAACCAAGGATAGGGCTGTATTGATGGACGGTTGTGATTTCTAACGGTTCAACCGCCTGGTCCGGTTCGATTTTGATAACTAACCAATCTAGAAAGAGACAGGAGAGAGAGAGAGAGAAAGAGAGAGAGAGAGAGAGAGAGAGAGGAGGAAGGAGAGGGGAGGGGCCAAGCCCAAAGCAAAGCACTGGGTGGGAGGAAAAGAACAGAAGGAGAGAGAGACAGACAGAGAGAAGAGAAAGAAAACAGGAGAAATTCTAGAGAGAGACAGAGAGAGATCTTCAAGGTGGGCAGAAGTTATCGGGTTAAAAAAAAAAAGATGTCGGACCAAGAGATATCCCAAGCTCTCCACTCCCTCCTCCACGACTATTCCACTTCCCAGTCCCAATCCTCCGCCGCCCCTCTCACCTCCATGACCGCCGTCGTCCACCACCTCGAGTCCAAACTCGGCGTCGACCTCTCCCCCAAGGTCGACTTCATCCGATCTCAGCTTCAGCAGTTCCTCTTCCAGCCACCGCCGCCGCCGCAGCAGCAGCAGCAGCCGCCGCCGCAGCACCAGCAGCAGCCGCAACCCTTTCCTCCTCCGCAATCTTACAAAGACCGTTATGCCCCCCACCAAACCCCCAACTTCCTGCTATCTTCCGGCTACCCTCCGCCGCACCAAACCCCCAATTTCTTGCTCTCTCCCGGCTACCCTTCTTCTCATTCTCACCCGCAGCAGCCACCGCAGCACCACCACCACCACCACCAGCAATTTCCTCCTCCGCCCTCTTACAAAGACCATTATGCCCCTCACCAAACCCCCAACTTTCTCCTCTCCTCCGGCTACTCTCCTTCTCCCTCCCCTGGCTCCGTCCTCTCTCCTCGCGCCGTCAGGCTGGAGTCCTCTGCACCTGCTGCTGCTCCTCCCCTCGAGTCCCCCAAGGAGAGGTAACGCTTATCTATCTCCCCTTCTCCATTTCGCAGTGCTTTGGTTGTTCTGAAATGGGAAATGTGATATCCCTTTTGTAAACCCTTCAACATTTCAATTTTTTTTGGTTGCTAAGGATTATCTGGTTTTCTGGGGAGTTGAGGGGAGCGGGAAAGCACAAATCTTTAGCATCCCATTTCGCTTGCGATTGGGTTAGATCAATGATTGTAGAAAAAAGATTATGCTTTCTGAACCCGGGACTAATGAATTGAATGTAAAGCAGATATACTGTTTGCTCCATTGAGGTTGTGTGTTCTGGTCAGGGCAGCCTCATTTTGGTATAACGAGCTGTTGCTAACTGCTGGTTGAATGCTGCTCTTCTCATTTGCAGTAGTAAGGGTAAGAGGAAAGGCGGTGCAGGTGGGTTGAACAAGCTCTGCGGCGTCTCACCGGAGCTTCAAGTTGTAGTCGGCCATCCTGCTCTTCCCAGGACTGAGGTTCTTTTTTGTTTGTTTGTTTCTTGTACCTTACTTTGCGTTCTTTGAGCTAGCATGGCAACATAGCTGACCGAGGAGTTGTGAATGTTGTGATTTCCGAATCTATGTTTCCAGATTGTTAAGCAGTTATGGGTATACATAAGAAAGCACAACCTCCAAGACCCGAGCAACAAAAGGAAGATTATCTGTGATGATGCACTGCGTGTGGTGTTTGAGACCGACTGTACTGATATGTTCAAAATGAACAAGTTGCTCTCTAAACATATCCTTCGTCTTGATCCCGCGAGTGAGTGATGTCTTGATTACTGTGTGGAGCTTCTCTGTTTCCTTGGGGGGGGGGGGTTTGTAATGATGTCAAGCTTATGTTATTGTTGTTTTGATGTTACAGAAGAGGCTAGTGCTAAGAAGCAAAAAGTAGAGGATGATGAAGAACTGGAATCTGAAAGCACACAGGCTCCTCCTGCTCTTGCTGTTTCCCCTGCCCCTGCTCCTGCTTCTGCTCCTTCTGCAGCGATAGAGGATGAAGAAAAGGAGTCTCAAGACACACAGGATGCTCCTGCTCCTGCTCCAGCTCCTGCTCCTGCTCCTGCTCCAGCTCCAGCTCCAGCTCCAGCTCCTGCTCCTTCTGTGGGGATATCTGAAGAACTTGCGAACTTTTTCGGTGTTGGGGAGAGGGTGATGCTCCAGTCGGAGCTTTTCACTCGCCTTTGGGAATACATCAATGCAAATAATTTGGAGGTATAAAATGACTATTTGAGCTTCATCTGATGATTGGACAACGAGGTTCTTTATTTTTATTCTTAACTGGCTATAATTTGCTCTTTGTAGGATCTTGTTAACCCAACAGTGATTGTATGCGACTCGAAGCTTCAAGAGCTCTTTGGTTGTCAAAGTTTCCCAGCTGCAAAGCTAATGGAGGTTCTAGCCCGCCAGCATATATTTAGGGCTTAATTATGTGCGAATGGCTGTTTGCTTGCTGCTAACTTAATGGCTGGTTAGTTGATGGTAGTCTAGATATTAATCATTAGACACTCCCTCCACCTTCCTTAACCACGGCGACTGACGGTTAACCTTCTGTGGATATAGTTAGCTGTTTATTCATCCCTTTGCAAAGATGGAAATACTAATCTGAAGCTTGGGAGGATATCTCCTCTCATCTTAGTGTTGTTATTTGGGTTTCTTTGATCATGCAAGGCAGTTGGCTGGCAGATGATTTGTATCTAGGTAGTTTCTTTTGTCTTGTTGGAGCCTGCTGCTATGACTCCTTGCTTTTGTTCGTTTGTGGATTGGGAATGTCAACTCTAGCTAGATGTTTTACTCAAAAACTAATGTACTTTAATCTCAGCAAAACAGTTATTCGTGGTAGTGTTGTATGCTATTGGCTTCTGCTCTCTGTGAGTGCCTGTTCTCCTCCTGTATTTCATCCCGCAATGCTCTTTGTCTCTACAACAAAATCATACATTACTACCGAGTCCGACTCGACTGACGAGCCTGATAACCATGCCATGTTCTGTAGGCTGTAGATAACCTCAATAGCTTGTCGAAAAGGATCCTCTTAACATGTGTGTGACTGTGTGAGGTATCCGAGGAGCTTAGTGTTTCGGCTCGCTTTGTCGGGTCACCAGTTTATAAATCTTAATCTAGTTGCTTATGCTTTATTTTTTAACGTTCTACCTCACGGGAACTGTTTAGTTTAATGTTGTTCATCCTTCCCGTGACTCCCTGCAACAAACTGGTGAGCACATGACACTACTACTAATATTCCATTTGGCTTCAATTAAACAAAACTCAAGGGGTAACCAAACTGCAACCCTTTTTGCCTGCTTTGTATAAATTACAGAGCCTACACTCCTCAAAACCCTACATCAGGAAGCAGGACTATGGCCGACGTTAAAGCTCTTGCGCTCTTTTTTGTGCTTGTAGTAGTGCTAGCACTGCCTGCAGCTACTGCGATAGATGGAGGCTCAGGTGGTGGTAGTTCAGCCGCTGTCAGGCTAAACAGTGATTGCCGGGTTGATCCGTCCCAGCTCATCGTCTGCCGCCCTGCTGTCACCGGAGACTCACCCCCGCGCCCCACCTACGACTGCTGCAAGATGATCAAACGTGCCAACTTGCCATGCCTATGCATGTTCAAAGATTTCCTCCCAGCATTTGGAATCGACCCCGCTCGTGCCCTTGCTTTGCCTGAGAAATGTGGCCTCAAGACTCCACCAGAATGCAAATGTAAGTTCCTCTGCCACTGCATTTTTTTGTTGATTTGGAGTCTCCTTTTTCACAGCTGTGTGGAGCTGAAACTTATGATTCTGTAAACTCACGTTTGAAATGGCATTTTGGTGGTTGCAGCGCCTTGAATGAAGATGTCTACGAGTAAGGAGATTTGGACTATTCAGGGACCTGGGATTCAGCTTTGGGAATGATCCTTTCTGTGACTTGGTTTTAGTAGTCTGAACTTTGTTCTTGTACTTTGATCATTTCTGAAACAATGTATTGCTTTAATGAAGGAAGCTCCATTTTTCACAAAAAATGTTTGTTGAGAGTTCTCTTAAATAATTTACATTCAGATCGAAATAGTAGCTTCCACCATCAAAACTTCCAAAACTTGGAACATTACTACATTCCTTCCATTCCATACACAATCTCTACTAATCTCGACATCTGCATTTAGTGTTTTGTACATGCATAGTCTAGGCACCAACTCAAATAAACACACCCCTTTCTCCCCTAACCTTAGGCTGCCTTGAGGCGATTCTGGTATTCTTCGATGAAGAAATGGTTGAGACTTTAGCGAGAGAGAGAGAGAGAAAGAGCAGTAGTGGCGGTAGAAACTCAGCATTCTGATCGGCTGTGCCGAGGGCCACCAAAAATGGGTCTCATGTAGGCATTATCAAACCTCCTCCAGTAGTGATGGATGGTGTATACCGGCCTGTCCATCAACAAGGAGAAACTCTCCCTTGCGATTTGCATGTTAGCAGATGCAGATTCGTCAAAGGACAGCAAAGGAAGCACCACATCGTCTTTTGGGGACCTTGGTTGTTCTCCTCCACTCCCACCCCCACGATTGTTCTGGTTTCTCATTCGGTGTGTGATTAGGTAATTTACCAGGGGCTTCGTCAAGAAACCAAATACCTGCCAGTAATGACAATGCAACAGTCCATTGTTTAACTTCAGAGTCTGGTGAGGAAAGACAGGAAAACCATAAAAGGAAGGGGTTTTGCTGTTTACCAATGTAGTGAAGAGAACGACTATGATGGTGTTGGTGATCATTGTTGCATTGATAGGATCCAACGTGACGCCAGAATAGGTGAACTGCATGCACAGCCAAAGAACATATGCTATTATATGCTAATCATAACCATCATTGACAACAACAATCAACCAGCTTGACAACGGGATGTACCTGTTTGAAAGCAAGAGCGATAGAGACAGCACCTCTCATTAGGCCAGCCCACCAAATAACAGTCTGCACAAGAAATGAAAGTACCCAAGTAAAGGGAAAAAGTTATTTTAGGAATTGAATGTGTTTCAATTGACCCCACATCGCAATTTAGCAGCAAAGAAAGAAAAAACCCGACTTGCTGTTTGAAGGTGAGCGGGGATGTTTTGCGTCTGTTCATGAAGTTGGAAAATGCAGAGAGTGGAAACACGAATACAGCACGCCCCACCAATATCAGAAACACTATTGAGCTATAGATCCCAAGAGAAGTCCCTAAGCTGTCAACCATGAGTAATTTTCTGTTACCTCTGGCAAAATTGATATCAAGCTGATAAAACATATGCAAATAACTTCTGAAGGAAGCTGTACCTCAATTTAGTGATCTTCCACTTCTCGATGTCAAAAGCATCCATGCCCACATAGAGAAATATGAACGTCTCGGCGACAAAGGACAACATGGCGAAAACATGTCTGCATAAAAGTACCAAGGTAAGTTCATATAGAAATGCCAAAAGGATTGCAGTGATTGATTCGACTCTTCCTGATGTGATACATGCCTGGCTGTGATCCTGGAACTTTCCGTCACATTGTGCCAAGAATAATGCGACATGATGATTCCACAAAAGAAAACAGTGAGAATCCCGCTTAGTTCAAGCAGCTGCAGAATCCAAAAGAGTATTAATGCTGCTCCATTCATCAAACCCGCAGCATGAACAATGCTAGTGAGTACTGGATTTAAGTAAAGCAAAAGTACCTCGGCGAGCATGTAAGATAGATAAGCCATTAATACCATCATGGCGAGTTCACGTATGCTTGAGTGTCTGTTTTCAAACGACAAAACTTGTGTTAGGATTTTTGAAACCAGTTTGGTCATTGCAATTTTTTTAGGCAATAAAAAGTTAGACAGTAGTTCCCACTCATGTGTTCTAACTACCTTTCCGAGCAAGGGGTACTTACTTCCCAAAGTAGAGTGTTTTAAGCACAAGAGAAGTGAGGAGGCCAACCTAAACAAGAGAAATTGGGGTGAGACAGGCCTTTGCCTATATAAATATAGCTCGATGAGAAAAACACGTTCAATTCGGTGAACACTCACACCGATTCCAAGAGCAGTGCTGGTGGAGAACAAGTAGAGGAAATCTCCAATGACACTGAGTATTGTTTGGGAGTTGATCTTGCTGACATCCATCTTCTGAACAGCATTGAACAGAACAACTGATGTTGCATCGTTTACTACTCCTTCTCCAAACACTATGCTGTAGAGCAAAGGTGTTTCATCTTGGTGAAGAACCTACAGGCACATTGCAAGAGCATCAAAAGGAGAAACTTTGGCAGTGCCAAAAGCATCAAGGGACAAGAGAAGGACCGGTTCTCTTCGATCCTCACATACCTGCAGGGTGCACACTGTATCGGTCGACGAAAATATAGTTCCTATAGCTGAACTCGACAAGCGGCCACAAAAAAAGAAGGATCATTCCAATGACTCAGTAAAAGGTGCACAGTAGAATCGTATGAAAAATGAATGGAAAACAGGAATGTTCACCGAGGTAGTCTCGCGGTGCTAGACCGAGGAATCCAAGTTTAGGAAACAGCCACCAGCTGCCTAGGGAAAGAACATTAACATTTGAAACCACATATAGCACACTAATCAGTCATCACTAAATCAATCAAGAACAGAGAAAGCAAATGTGTGAAAGCCTGAAAGGGATGTTTTACCTAGGGAGATAATGACTGTTGAGATGAAAACCCCAACAATCCCAAACAGCATAATGGTTATGAAGTTCTGAAAGAACTGCTTCTTCTTAACCTGAAATCTGCTCATCACCATATACACACAAAGAAAAGCACGCAACTTTCTTGAGACTGAATCCAAAATGTCCATCTCCAAAGCATAGCAAAGAGTATTGGAAAAAACCCCACTTACCCGGCATTGAAGATGATGGGGGGAAGGAGGTAAATGAAGAAGAGCTCCTCACTGAACCTCAAAAGGTGAGAACTTTGCCCCTTCCGCAAGACCAAGATCAGGATTCCAGTTAAGCCTCCCTGCCCTCGTCCACAAATTTTAATCACAATCGTTAATTCACACGTCAATCAGCTCAATAAAAGGGTTCAGATAGGAAAGATGGAAAAGAAAGAGAGGAATACTGACAATGAAGATGGCGGTGATGGACTCGTTAACCCAACGATTCTCTTCGAGCAAATGGCCAATGACCAAGCAGAGGCACAGCACTGCCACGAAAATCGTAATGGGGACAACCTGGGGGTGCTCAGGAGACACATTTTCGCCAACCGTCTCGTACGATAATAAGCTCAACATCACTTCTCTTTGGTAATTGTCACGGGCCGATGTTTCGATTTCCAGTTACTCTCTGTGTATTATAACCGAGTCTGCAATTGGCTTTTGACGAAAAGCTTTCCAATGGCTATGAGGATCGAAATGATGGCAGCCCGAAAGGAAGAAGACGAGAGATATCGGAAAAAGAGAGTGAGAAAGACAGTGGAGTGAGTTACGAGCCAGAGCTCGGTGGCCGGACGAGAGACAGCGAGATACTCGATCGTCGACTGGAGGTTGCTGGCGGCATGTTCCGGCACGTGGCGAAGCTTTGCATGTTAATGGGGACACGTTACACAAGAGTCAGAGTTTCTGATTTGAGGCTGGAGCATCCTCTATCTATCCGACCCTAATTCCCATGCGTGCTGCTTTTCCTCCCTTCCAAACAGGTACAATTTTGCTGATATCACCATGGTTTACCAAAACGATGGTGACATCGAGTTGGATAAGAAATCAATGCTGGATAACAAGAAGGATCATGGCGGCTCCACACCGTAACAAAGATAAGAGCTTTCAAATCTACCGAGAAATCCAGAATTGTTGGCCATTAGAATCTAGATCAGTAAATGTCTGGAGAATTCTTGGAATCGGAGGAATGTTCACTTCCAAAATCTTCTCAAGAACATACACGACCTGGCCCATTGTCAGCCTGTGACTTTCGTCACCCTGGATGCACCATAGAGCAACTCTGCAAACTCTTCCCACCTCTTCAATATCAGCATTCCCATTCAATCTAGGGTCCAATAGATCTAGCACGTTCCCGCCTTCATTTACAACAGTTGCTACCCAAGTTGGAAAGTAATGACCTGTACTTGTATGTTGTGAGTTTCTCCTTCCTGATACTAGCTCAAAAAGCATCATCCCGTAGCTGTAAACATCAGCCTTGGCTGTAATGGCCTCCCCTGAAAGCCACTCAGGTGCTAGGTATCCTATTGTTCCCCTAAATGTTGTCAGAACCCTGCTGAAGTCCCTCCCGAAGAGCTTTGCCATGCCGAAATCCGCCACTTTGGGTATGAATTCAGAGTCTAGAAGTATGTTATCTGGCTTGATGTCGCAATGGATTATGCATTCCCTGCACTTCTCATGTAGGTAACCTAACCCTCTGGCCGTTCCTAGTGCGATGTTGTACCGTGTCTTCCATTCTAAAGTCTTTGCATCTTCTTCCGTGAACAGATGGGAAGCTAACGAACCATTGGGCATATAGTCATAGACTAAAAGCATTCTAGTAGGATCACTAGCAAAACCTCTCAAACCAACCAGATTGATATGTTGGATGGTACCAAGGGTCCTGACTTCTGCAAGGAATTGCTTATGCATGTCACCTTGGCTGAAGCTGACGCCGTCCAGCTTCTTCACTGCTACAACACTGGAATCAGGCAGTGTCCCTTTGTAAACAGAACCAAACCCTCCTTCTCCCAACTTCTCCGTGAAATTCCTTGTAGCAATCTTTAACTCTTTCTGGGTAAAAGCAACTGAAGACCCTTCCATTACCTTTCCAGGTTCAGCCTTTCTCTTCTTTCTCAATCTAACGATTACTACAGATACAGTAATTGCCAACAACACAATCACTGAACCCACCACGCAACCAATGATAACCCTTTTCTTGTTCTCCGAACTTGGGAATTTAGAATCGGAACCTGCAAGTTTAATGAAGATCGTTTGCCCACCTGGGACATCCTGCTGCAAATTCATGAGAACCCCATACCAAGTGAAGCATTGGTCTCCACTGTGGGAATAAGCTGTACAGCTACAAGATCTCAAACAAGCCGCCTCGCAATCCTTTGGACTTCCAGCAACTGCCGTCTCAGGTTTATCAGGCAATTTCACATTGTAATTAGGCAAGAACCAATCAGGTTTCCTGCACTCAAGTGGCGAGCTTCTATAGCAGCCACGGTAAAAGACCTCAGAACTGTACTCAACCTGAGATAAGGGAACAAACCCTGTCAAACATTGACAGGGGGAACGACTGGATTCCCCCATACAGCTCCCATACGGACCACAATAACCATCGACTTGACATTGGGATCTAGGATGCGACCAAACTAATAGCCATTGCTTGGTGGATTCCTGCCAGGCGAGCAGCTGAAGCTTCCCACGTACATCCACAACATACCGTGAGAACAAAGAGCCATTGTACCCGGACTCGTACAGCTGCTTAATCAAGGCATTAGGTTCCTCCACAAGTTGAGCCAGCTGGGAGATGTTGTACTGAGAGTAGGTTAAATAGCTCTCATTCCTATTATCCACATAAGAAAGGCTCATGAGCTTCAATTTCATCTCCGAAATGGAGCCTGAAACACGCCCAGAGAAAGATTCGCTCGCCCGGAAAGCCGTGTACATGTTCCGGAGCTCGAGTGACCGGTTTGGCCCCAGCTTGAGTGAGAAGGGGCCTGTAGCAGGGTCTTCTCTGTTTCGCCACGAGGTCAGAGAGATATCTTGCTCCTTAACCTTGTTGAACCCAATCTTGCCACCGGGGATCCAGGTATCTCCAGGGTGATCAAAGCTTTGCCAAAGCGATTGATTTGGGGAAATTGGAGAAGACCCATTTGACGTTAGGACGAGATTTCCATCATCCAGAAGCACAGCTTCTGCGTAGCGGAAATTCCTGTCCACCATACCGGTGGACCAAATTTCTCGATTTGAGCCGTCGTGTAGAGCCAGGTATCCGTAATCGGTAATCTTGAGCTCGGCAGAGAACCTGTCGGGAAGAGGGGAGTAACTGTTTCTGTTTGCTACCCAAACTACCGTCCTTGGAGAAACTTGCTTGTACCAAATCCCTACGCAGTAATTTCCTGATTTCCCAGGCTTGAAGAAACCCAATTCGAAGACTCCTCCTGCCGAGACGATCGTTTGGTCGCCGGAAAGTGAACGGGTTGGAGTGATTCGATCCGCTCCATCGCAGCGGACAAGTTTGAGACAGAGGGAACTGAGGATTAGAAGAGAGAGCTTGAACAAGATGGTTTCCATTTGGTAAGCGGCGGGAGAAAACTTGGGTAGTGCTGGTCTAAGGACGAAGGATTTATCGCAAATTTGGCCGCGACTAGTCCAAGTACTGCTCTCTGTCATTCAAGAAGCAAAAATGGGCATGTTAAGTGCGAAAGTTCGTGGTCTAGAGTGTAGACGCTCGAGCGAGCTAGGGACTTAGATTCTAGAATGGAAGCAACCGCGATTGGCCGGTCTTTCGTCGTCTGTCTCAATCAACTAGGGGGGAAAAAAGCAAAAAGCGTAGAAAGTTGAAATACTAATTACTGGTGCGAAAATTCAAACGGACAAGCTTCAGAGTGTCAACTCCTAATTTGTTAAGATGGTGTTAATATCACCTTCAGTCAACATTTGGTTTTGATAAATTACACAGTTGATCACTCGAATTATACAAATTTTTCACGTTTGCCACTTGAATTACTTTTCTTTCTTATTCACCACTAACTTTATGAATAGTTTCACCGTCAGTCACCGGCCGTTACACTCCCTTACACTCCGTTAAATTTGTCCTACGTGGCAGTCAACTATAAAGTTTGACCGTTAACTAGATGACGTGGAAATTAAAAAAATATATAAATTAATTTATTTGTCCACCTAATTATTTCACTTACTTTGTGTATATGATTTATCATATTACTTATTTAATAAAAAATAATTAAATTATAAAAATAAATAATATGATTGATGTCCCTCCAAATGATGTTGTGCTGCCTGCCGACGTCGGCGGCGGCGACCACCACTTCATTCCAGATCGGAGTGAAGGCCCGAACGATAACGGCATGGTAACAGGGGGAATTGAGCTCCAGGAATCGCTTCAGCTGCTCTTCCAACCTGCTCCAGCTGTAAACCCCCATCTACACTATCATCTACGTCATCGAATCCCTAAAATGGAAAGGAGCTTGTAGACCTGCTTGTCCGACAGCGTTTCCCCTCTCAGTCGGGGGCCGTACAAGACGTTGTCGGCGACCGTGCCTTGGAACAGCTGAAGCGATTCCTGGAGCTCAATTCCCCCTGTTACGACGCCGTCATCGTTCGTGCCTTCACTCCGATCTGGAATGAAGTGGTGGTCGCCGCCGTCGACGTCGGCCGGCAGCACGCATCAATCATATTATTTATTTTTCTAATTTAATGAATTTTTATTAAATAAGTAATATGATAAATAAGTGAAATAATGAGGTGGACAAATAAATTAATTTTTATATATTTTTTTAATTTCCACGTCATCTAGTTAACGGTCAAACTTTATAGTTGACTTCCATGTAGGACATATTTAACGGAGTGTAACGGCCAAACTTTATAGTTGACTGCCATGTAGGACATATTTAACGGAGTGTAACGGTCGGTGACTAACGGGCGATTCGTAAAGTTAGTGGTAAATAAGAAAGAAAAGTAATTCGGGTGGCAAACGTGAAAGATTTGTGTAATTCGAGTGACCAAACGTGTAATTTAGCCAAACATTTTATTTTTAAGAGGTTGACTAATTAATGATGATTTATAAAGAGTGGGTGAGACTTTGGCATTTTAAAAGTTATAGGAGACACACATGTGTGGGACCACTAAATTTTTTTGAGTCCTCCGTCACTATAAGTATCATGAAGTATACCACAAAATGCATTTTGAAAACAACAAAATACACCATACATAATATAAAATAGACCAGAAAGTTTATAAAACAAATCAGAACACTACTACACCACAAAATTCATAAAGTGTACTGAAAAATTCAAAGCCGACTCTAAATTTCTTAAAGCAGACCAAAAACCTCATAAAATAGACCATGGTTGAATGAATCCCCCGCATAATAAACTAAGTGATAGTTTAGTTGAGATTGTTACAATGCGTATATTGTTCAAAATGCATCTTATTTTGTATTTTTTCTGTACAAACAATAGAAAACATTATTTGTTTGATATTACATAGGCTTAATACACTTGCATAGCCACAAATGTGCACTTTGTGACAATAGTAACCAAATTTTGAAAAATACACTGATATAGTCATTCTGTCAATAACTTTAACGGAACAGTAATAAATACTTATTGGGCTAGCTTATTTATTGACGTGGTAGGTTTCATAAAAACTATGACAGGTGGAAATAATTTTTTCTTATTATAATAATTCATTAATTAATTACATAAAAAAAAACTAAAACTAAACGGGAGATGAAAAATCATCCGCCCCTCTTTCTTCCAAGATCTGCTTCTGTGCTACTCGGCGGCCGAATCTTGCCTTGTCCCAACAAGTCAACCACTGCCATTTAAGATCTCGATCCCTTGTCTCTCCCGAAAACGCCTGAACTTTTGGTTTTCCATTTGGCTTGTGCAGTTGTGCTGAAGCTTGGCGGGTTGTAGATTCCAATACATCCGGGTAATTAGGGGTTAATTGCATGATTGGTCACTGAGATTAAAAAAACATTTAAATTTGGTCACTCGAAATATTTAAATTCATTGGTGGTACTTCAGTTTCTGAAACGGTTCACGTTTGGTCACTCTCTGTCCAACGCCGTTAACTTTTGCTTATGTGGCGGTCAACTCTAAAAGTTGACCGTTAAATGTGTGACGTAACAATTTAAAAATAATAAAATTAATTTTTTTAAAATTACCATCTCATTTCCACCTCATTATCACTTTTATTAAAAATAAATAAAAAACCCAAACTACGAGGGGTCGAAATGCATTTTTTTCTTTGTATTCAATAAATATTTTATGACCAAACTTCTAATCCCCAATACTAGGGCTGGGCATGCGGGCGGATCATCCGCGGGTTTGGGCCGACCCACCCGCATTTGACCCGAATTTCGTTAAGTGGGTGGGTCTGTGGGTGGGTGACGGGTTGCGCTGGGAGCCATCCGCCGGGTGGTGGGTGGGTTGTGGGTGAGTGTGCGGGTGACCCACTCAACCCAACAACAATAAGATCAAAGTCGTTGGCGCTAGAGAGACGAGAGTGGAGCCGTTAGATATAAACTCGGACTGTTCCTGGAGTTTGAACCTCAAAGTCAACCTTCCAAATAGAGATCCCCTCTTCTTCCCTTTACTTTTTCCTCTAATTCTTGTGCCTAGATCACCGCTCTTTCCTTTGTGGAATTATTTTCCTTAGTTCCTTGCACCTAATAATCATCTCAATCTGTAGAAAACTCTTTCATAATAGAATTTCTATCCAATTTAAGAACTAATTCGACATTTTTCGCCCTATTTCAACTTTTTGTTTCCCTCGATGATTCTCTTCACCTATTATCATGTCAAGTTGACTCCTTTATATTATATACATTGTGATGTGGGTGAACCCACAAACCCACCCGCATCATCCACCATCCGCCCGACCCAACCCGAGACTAAATGTGGGTGGGTGGTGGGTTAAAAATTATCAATCCGTTTAAGCGCGGGTGGGTGCATTTCATGGTCAAAATCCACCCGACCCACCCAATGCCCACCCCTACCCAATACCAATACCCCGCCGGCAGCATACCTCGCCGTCAGCTTCCATTGTTGGGCTGTTGTACAGCAGCTTCCGATTCACAATACGAGCTCCTCTTCCAAGCTCTGTCCCTAGTCCCTACCGGCTACCGCTCACTACGCCGCTTTCCTCCTCGTTCTCGGACTAATCTTCCTCTACGATTTCCTGGAGATTCATTTCCTTCGCAATTTGGCCACCGGGTTCCGGGCAGATCCCGTCAAGTTGACATACAATGCTTCGCCGGAGCTCTATCAGGCCATTGCTTCCAAATGCCAAGTGCTCCGCGGCAGGTTGACGATGCAGCTTTCCGATTGCTTGTAATTTTGTGATTGCGCTCAATCTGAATTGAATCCTAATTTTTTATTTTGACTTCTTACTTTTTTTATTTATTGTGATACAGATTTTGGGAAGGGGAAAGATTTAGGTGAGGTTCTCCCACACCCAATTTAGTTTGACCGGAAGTTTCAACAATGGAAGTGGCAACGACGGCTGGGTATGCTGCCGGCGGGGTATTGGAGATTAGAAGAAATTAGGATTTTTTATTTATTTTGAATAAAAGTGATAATGAGATGGAAATGAGAGGCAAATTTAAAAAAATTTATTATTTTTAAATTACCACGTCACACATTTAACGGTCCTCCACATAAGCAAAAGTTAACGGAGTTGGACGGAGAGTGACCAAATGTGAACGGTTTCAGTAAACTAAAGTACCACCAATGAATTTAAATATTTCGAGTGACCAAACTTGAACGTTTTTTGTAATCTCAGTGACCAACCATGCAATTAACCCGGGTAATTAGCATAAAAGGTCACAAACCTATTCACTTTGTACAAAACGGTCACAAACCTTTTATATTGCACGTTTTAGTAACATATGTTTGAGTGAATAACAAAAAGGTCATTCCGTCCATCTCCATCCAAAAAATTGTTACTTATGCCCAGTTGACAATATCACTTAAAATATTAATAAAAAATAAATGACATGGATTAATCCAACCAATGAATCGTAATTAAAAAAAGAACCACCCGCAGACCTAGCTCTATTCCCCGCCCACCCGCAGACCGCCCCACTCAATTTTGTTTTTTTTTTATTACAGATCAAATTGATTTTGAGCAAGAAATCAAGTAACTTGCCTTTGCCCTTACCCATAACGTGCTATATTAAAGAGTTAAATGAAACGACCCAGAACTCGTAAATACTGTATTCAATTGTCGTTGACCGATTTGATAAATTGGGGTGAATTTTTAACAAAAGCCACAACCGATTCAACCGTTAATTACAAAAGTGATAAAATTCATTCTCGGCCTAAAATTCGACAACATCGATATCGGGTCGAATTACAAAAGGGGATAAAAATAAAATGCATTCCCGACCCAAAAATCGTCAACACAATTCAACCCACTTTGATCGGGTTGGATTAAACTGAAAAAGTGGGTGAAATACGTTCTCGACCCAATTCAATGATTACAAAAGTGGATAAAATTAATTCACACCTCCAAAAGAGTCAAGGGTAAAACTTGTCCTCGACCCA